TTTTTTTAAACCGTTCGGTTTTTTTAGAAACCCTAGATCCGTTTTTTCGGTTCGCCAGTTTTTCTCGGTTCTTCTAGTTAGCGGACGTCCATAGTTGAAGAGGTAGATCAGCAGGTAGTGGGTTTTGTAGGTTTGGAATTGGTCTACCCGGAGTAGAGTGTTAATGTTTCTGAAAGACTGTGTCTCGGTCATCCGTTTCTCAAACACCTTGTAGTGCGAGAAATCCAACGGAGGCGATCGAGTCTTGTGGGGAAAAGTGCGCAAACCTCTGCAAAGTGTACAAACTAATCATGGTTAGCGTGTCCCCGTTATGGACAATCTTGAGTATCTAGTACTTGGGTTATCACATGTATCTCATCACTTTTAATTAAAATTGTTGGGTTGTTAATCACTTTAATTGGGATTAAGTTGGGGTTACCTTCTCAATGTTTCAACCACCATGATAGTTAAATTAAAATATATTCCTTTGTTGTAGGGAAAAATTGGCTTTTCGTAAAAACTATAACCCTAGAGCTTTCCACCAGCCAAATATGCATGTAGTATTAGCATTATTCTGTCCATGCTCTACCGTGTTATATTGCCAGCATATTCCATGTGCTGACCCGTTTTCGGGCTGCAACGTATTATGTTGCAGACTTTTAAGACAAGGAGTAAGGTTCGTTAGGTCGTTGCCGTGCAGCTCAGCTATGCCGCTGGAGTTGATGGACTCACTTATCTTCCAAGCCTTCCGCTGTTATCGCATTAGATGACCTTAAGCCATATTATTGTAATAAGTTCTCTCTTGAGACATTCGATGTAATAAGTGTGTGATTGCTACTCTGTTATAAATCCTTCGAGTATTGTGTGTGTCAGCATTACCGATCCAGGGATGACACTGAAGCATAGAGACTTGACCGTTTGAGGTCGGGTCACTACATACTACTTCGCCCCTCTTGCTGGATCGAGAAGGCGAGGACGTCACCGAGCCGAACGTGTGCAGAACTCGGAGGTGCCGTGCTTTCGGTACTTGGATCGGTCGGATCGTGAAGACGTATGACTACATTAACCGCGTTGATATAACGCTTCCGCGAACGGTCTACGAGGGTACGTTGACAACACTCTCCCCTCTCGTTGCTATGCATCACCATGATCTTGCGTGTGCGTTAGATTTTTTTGAAATTACTACGTTCCCCAACAATAAGAGGGGCTGAGCAAAAGCGGTAACATAGCCAAACAACGGTTTGCTAGGAAGGTGGGTTAGAAGCTTGACATGACAATGTGGGAGGCATGATATAGCAAGTGGTAGGTAGCGCGACATAGCAATAGAGCAAACAACTAGCAAGCAAAGATAGAAGTGATTTCGAGGGTATGGTCATCTTGCCTGAAATCCCGCAAGGAAGAAGAACGAGTCCATGAAGAAGACAAACGGACGTAGTCGAACGGATCCTCACAAACGCGACGTTATCGGAACTAACCCGAAGAAGCAACACCGGAAAGAAGCAAACAACATGGTAAACGACCATCACATAATCATGCCATGATGCACAACCAAGTACTTCCTCTGTAAACTAATATAAGAGCGTTTAGATCACTAAAGTAGTAATCTAAACGTTCTTATATTAGTTTACGGAGAAAGTATGATGCACGTCCGGTTTAATGAGGCATGGCATGGCAAAGTGCACAAGCAAAACTAAAAGTTAAATGGAGCTCAATATGCAACATGTTGCATATTGATGAAACACCGCATTTAATTATTTAGTTCTCTCCCGTTTAAACTACTCAACAAAATTAAATGTTGTTTAAACATAGCAAGAGGTGGAGCATAAGTAAACTAAACATTTAGGCAAGTTTAAATGAGGCCGAAAATAACAAACAACAATTCCGGTAAATCCCCATATGCATTTAGCAATTTAATGCAAACAACAATTTTAAACATTTTAAATGTTATTATCATGATGCGGATGTCATATGCAAGTTTATGCAATTTTATGAAAATGTTGCCATGAGCATGATATGAAGCATTTGTCATCGTGGCGGAAACGAAAGGGGTGCCACGGCAACGAATCCGAAAATGATGCCACGACAACATATCGGTTCCGGTAACTCGATTGAGATGCCGGTAAAAAGAACAAGTGTGCCGATGTGTGGAATGAGTTAGAGATGGTGGGGTGATCCCGGTTACCGGGTGTCCCATGTGTCGGTGGCATGGCAATCGAGGGTCGTGCACAAAACAAACGAGCACGGTGCAAACACGGGGTTCATCTCGTACATCACATGCATTCGTTCACGGGCGTCGTCTCGGTGGTTATACCTTCGAAGCGTGCGTTTTGAGGCGGTTCAAAAACGTCGAGGGAAGTAGTCGTTTCTCGCGACGATAGTGGAAGTAGGGGGTACACGTCGACGGTAGTTGTACACGGGTCTTCGGCGACGGTAGTGGTACACGTTTTCATAGAAGTTCGGGGTCATCGGTAGAGGTACTTGTCGCATCACCGGGCGTATTCGTACCCGTTTCGAAGAGGAACTTGGCATATCCATGTACTTGGCGTTCCGGTGCGATACTTGGCGAATCCAACACATAGGGGTACACTTGTTGAAGCGGGACTTGACGAAATCCATCTAGAGGTAGCCGTACGTGGTCGTACTCATGTTGACGTGCAACACGATGGTCTTGACGGATCGTAGTTGGACTTGGCGGTCTTGATAAAATGAAGGGGTACTCGGCAAAACCTGTTCTTCGAAGGTCGACGGTAGTGGTTGCCGTATCAACATGGTGTGGTTGTGCTTGACGGGTCCGGTCTTGGCGTGCGAACGAAGGATCACAGATGCATGGGGGTGCAAGTGGTGCCGAGGTGGAACTTTTGCAGCGATCATGGAGAGCCTCGGGGCTGCATCTCGGCGATCCAACGACAGGAAGCGGTCACGGTCTTGGCGACGGCGTACAACAGAGAGCGGAGAGGTGCTCAGGGAAACCGGAGCAGAGCAAGGTCCGAGGCGAGTTGGGGGGGGAGGCGCTCCTGGTCGCAGCGGCGCGGCGCCGGAGCATGGGCTCGTCGGCCGGAGCGGCACGCGGCCACGGAGGAGAGGGAGGACGCGGCGGCCAGAGGGGTTGCCAGCGCGAGCGTGCGAGGGGGCTGGCGGCGCGAGGTGGAGGAGAGGAGCGCTGGTCGTCGACGAGGGCGACGAGGAGGTCCGGCGGTGCATGAGAAGAGCAGCAGCAGAGCAGCTCGGGCGCAGAGGCTGCTGCTCGCCTGAGTTGATGGCCAGCGCGGCGGCATGGGAAGGAGGAGCGGGTGAGGAGGTGGCTGAGGCATGGAGGAAAGAGGCATGGGAGCAGGCGGGGCTTCGCGAGGAGGACGAGAGGGAGCGGGGGAAGGAGAGGCCGACGCAGTGGAAATGGGGATCGAGCAGGGCTCTCCCTGGTGCGATGTGTGAGTGTGTGGCGGCGCGAGGGGACGAGGAGGAGGGGTGCAGGGATCGCTAGGGTAAGCAGCGGGGCTGGTTGGGCCTTAGCCTTGGGCCGGCGCGTGAGGGAGGGAGGCCTAGCTGGGCTGGAATGGCTGTTGGGCCTCTTCTCTCTCTCTCTCTCTTTAACAGAAAAGAAATTAGAGAGAGGAAAAGAAAGAGATGGTTAGGGAAGGATTTTGGGCATGGGGGTTATTTTTCCGGACTCAAAAAATGATTTTTATCCAAGAAAAATAGAAGTGGCATGATCAAAAGATAAAAATTCAAATTCATTTGAATATAATTCAAATGGTTTTGAATTGGGACTAGGTTTTCGAAGAGTCCAAAAAAATGTTGAGTTTATTGGTGGAGCTTGGAAATGTGCCGAAAGAATTTTATGGGCAAAGTTGAGGTCAAGGATTTGGATAGAAAGGCATGGGATTATATTTGCACGTGTGTTATGGTTAATTCCAAATTATTGGAATATTTATAATAGCTCCCTAAATACTGGGATGCTATGTTATAAAAAGAACTCATCATGTGAATTCCCTTGGTTTAAATAGATCGAAAGATCTATGTAATTTATTTAGTTGAGTTAAGATGCAAAGATTAATGACATGATGACATGATGCAATGATGAATGCAACAAACCAACAACTCATATGACGAAACTCGAAAAACATGAAAGGCGTCTGAAGCTCCGATCTTGGGGCGTTACACATAACCAGATTAAAGTCACCATCAATCAGAGTGGGGGAGGGGCACTCCATGAACATGGAGTGAAGCTTTGAAATAAAAGCCTCTTATCCTTCTTCATATGGAGACCCATATACAATGATGATTCTAAAAGTTGTATCATTACTTTTTAGTTTAAGGACACAACTAACAGAAAAGTCAAGATGTGACCAAGAAATGATCTAAAAATATCTGCTGACAAAGAAGATACATCTGACAAGAAGTATACGACTGACGAAGTGTGACAAATTCCCAATTGTGGCAATAAACTCAACATGTGTAGAAAGAATTGTAGGCGACTAGCTTTAATTAACCGCTGACTAAATAGTATTAATTTTTTGCTAGAGCGTAACTGAGATTTAAGATGAGAGGCTTATTTTTTGGATCGGAATATACAACGAACTTCAGATTTTTAGGCAAGACAAATCGAATGTTTTTCATAACAAATTATGTTTGTCAAGGGTAGCAAGCTTAGTTGGTGAGCATGGCAGCCAAAAAATTGCCATGCTCGCCAGCTACATTTGTCATCCTCATCCCAACATAAATTGCTATGAGAAACATTAGATTTGTCATGCTACGTCAGATTTTAGCATTTCCCTTTTTTTATTTCGAGGGAAGGGTGAGAGGCTAATTTTTCTTATTTTGTTTTATTTTATTTTACCCTGCAAATGAGATGTACTGCCAATCTGCCGCACCATGTAAGCCCAGGGCTAAACAAGCCCACACTTCTTCGCCCACAGACAGTCTCACTGCCTTCTTCTAAGCACTCTCTTCCCGGATAAGAAGCGCAGCCAAAGCCCCCTCCGCCCAAAACCCCCACCGCGAGCTCTCTCCTCGCCCCGCCCATGGCGACCTCCACCGCCTCCCCCTCCTCTCTGACCGCCCCTCTCCTTGGCCCCAAACCCAGCCCCAATCCGCCCCCCAGATCCCTCCCGCTCCTCAGGTTCCCATCTCTCCCGCACTGTTCCTCCCCGCTTTCCAGTTCCAACCACTCTACCCTAACCATGTCCGCCTCGCAGGAATCGGAGGTGCGCTAGGTCCGTGGCCGCCTCTGCCGGCGGCGGCGGAGTGGGACTGCACGGGGCTGCTCACAGGCGCGGGATTTGGTCGATCAGGTGAAGTCAATTCCACTCGCTTCTTCTCTTTCGCGCTTCCTGTATCCTGTTAAACTCCGACTATGTAGTACTATTTCCGTTCTGCGAGCAATGGAATGGGGACTAGCCCGGTTCCAAAACGAAAAGGATGAAATCAATTTCGTGGCAGAAAGCCTTGTAGTTTCGCATCGTCTGTTTGGTACGCTGGACGAGGTTCAGTTGGGGATCTAAGGGTGCTGATGGCGCTGTGCGTGTGTGTCTGCCAGGGACGACTTGCTGATGCCTAGGTCGCCCTACTTCCCTGTGGAGGCCGCGGGGCAGGAGCGCGGGCCCTCGCCCATGGTAATGGAGCGGTTCCAGAGCGTCGTCAGCCAGCTCTTTCAGCACGTACGGGAATACTGGACTGTGTGCACAATTGTTTGATCTGCTCTTTAGGGCCTTTTTGCGAGTGTAATGTGCGCGCGTCCTGCTGCAGAGAATTATCCGATGCGGCGGTCCTGTGGAGGATGATATGGCCAACGTCATTGTTGCGCAGCTGCTATACCTGGACGCCGTTGATCCTAACAAGGTAAGTTGCGAAAAATGAAACTCTCTCCTTGTGCGCAGTTCCTAATTCCTGTCCCAGATGAATAGCTATCTTGGCAGAAGCTTTGTTATGATCTATTCATCCTAGCCTACTTTGGAATTGCTGATCTGTATATCAATTATCAAAGGATGTAGTGTGTTGCTTTAGCTTCAAGCACATTCTAGGGCCTCACACTACACGTAAGTGGAACTTGTGCTCGAAGTTGTTATTTCAGGTTAAGTAGAGTGGCACTGTGGTTCTTGGATGCGCTTCCTCTGTTAAATGAATATCACTTGACTTCGTAGGAAACAGTTCTATTTTTCTGGACCCTGGTTTGTCAATACCTATGTGACGAAGGTGCTGGAGTTATCAACTGTTACTGGTACTTTTGTATTGCTGCTACATCACAGTGCTTAGGTTTTGAGCTGCCTAGGTAGGCCTGGAATTGAGTATATATTCTTGTGATCTTGTGATGATGGTAAATTCAGACAAATGAATCTCTTTTCCTTCTGCCAGTTTCTTAGAGCATCTCCAGCCGTTCGGCCCCCAGGGCGCCGAAAAAGAGCCGCCTGGGGGCGAGCCGATGCTAGATTGGCGCGTGGGGGCAACTTTGTCCCTAGTCGTCGGCCCATAGGTCGCCCCGGGTTCGGCGATGTTCCGTACAAATATATGAAAACTCGGCGATTTTGGCACGAGCTCGGCGAAACTTCATTGAAATTTGTACAAAAAAACATGAAAACATGCAAACTACGCCTAGCCGCCACCGCCGTCGCCGTCGCCGTCGTCTACATGCCGAGAAGCCTGTAGAAGCGGGTGTAGTCGCCTCCGTCGCCATCATCGTCATCGTCGTCGCGTGCCTCGCCTGTGCCGCCGCCGTTCCTGCTGCAGCCCTGGCCAGGGTCGCTGACACGCGGTGGGGCGCTGGATGGCCCGGCCTCGGAAGGCTGGAACTACGCGTACGCACGGCGCTGGTGGCGCACCTGCTCCCGGCCGAGGCGATGAGGGCGACGAAGCGCCGTCTCGCTGACTCGGCGGGCCCATCCTCTTTCGTGCCAAAACGCTCGCCCCGGCGCCCCCCAGCGCGCCGGGTTCGGCCTGGGTCCGCCGGCGCCAGTTTCGGCCCAAACCGGCGAAAAACGGGCTCCTGGGGGAGCGACTGGGCCGATTTTTGGGCGCCGGCGCGGAAAAATCGCCTGGGGAGGGCCTGTTGGGGGCGCGGCTGGAGATGCTCTTATTCCTAGATCAGTAGTTTTCTGGTCAGAAGCTTTACTCTAGAATTGCTGATACGTATCCATTATCAAGGGAAGTAATAGCATGTTGCTGCTTTAGCTTCAACACATTATAGGGCCTTCTTGCACCATCAGCGGAACTTGTAAATTAAGCCAAGTTGTTTCTGGATGTAAAATAGAGTGTGGCACTCTAGTTCTTGGATGTGTTTCCTCTATTTAAGGAAACTACTTGATGTTGTAAAATAGAGAGGCTTCATTCTGCTTTTCAAGGAATGCGGCGGAAAAATCTCTGGAATTTATCTGGATATCTTTCCTACTGGAATTTATTTCTTAAAACTGTTACCGGTGCTTTTGTATTGCCGCCGTATCTTAGTGCTTAGGTTTTGAGCTGCCTAGGCAGGCTTTAGACTTGGTGATATAATTGGTTCTTGTCAATTTTGTGCAGGATATCATTATGTATGTGAACTCTCCAGGAGGATCAGTGACAGCTGGTAATAACGCACATTCATATTTGTAATCAATTTATTCTTTCTTAATAACATCAATTTATTTTGTTTCTATTAAGGGATGGCCATATTTGATACAATGAAGCATATCAGGCCTGATGTTTCGACAGTTTGTATCGGACTTGCTGCAAGGTACTCAGTACTGACATTTTTCTGAATTAGTCTATTAGAAAATAGATGATTGGTTCAGATGTAGGATGCTTTATAGTTTGCACATTGCATATAATCTTTATAATGGGTTTTGATTATTAAAACTAGGGATTCTGTTCCATTTTTCTGGATTTCACCTTTTGAAACAAGTACCTGTCTCCGGCTATTCAGCCTGCCCAGTTTTTTTTTCTTTTGAATTTTTGTTATGCATCTTAATTCTTAAATCATTGATGCATGTTTATTCAGTATAACCTGCCCAGTGTAGGATTTTGGATTGATGAGTCTATCTTTATTGCTGCAAGTAAAATGTTGGTATTTTTGTAATTCTAGATAGCAATTTTTTTTTGCATGAGTGCATTTTATATCATATGTCCTTAATTAAGATGATTAGATTTTCAAATTGTATGATCGTAAAATCTGTCAAGGATGGCAAAATACGAGAGAGCTGCTTCATTGTGCATTTCTCATTGTTGAGGTTTTCTCACTCTGCAAATTTACCTTTTGCAGTATTTAGGTCGTATCCATCCGTGGAATGTTTTTTGTTTACTTTATTATTGTGTGTTATGTGACATTGATTCTTACACTTTCTTTTTCTATTTCCATTTTCAGTATGGGTGCTTTTCTACTTAGCGGTGGGACGAAAGGTAATATGAGTGACTGCTTACTCTGTTACAGTACTAGATGTAGTCTACAGCTAGACTGACCTTCGTGCTTCAATGTGTGTATGTAATGCAGGGAAGAGGTACAGCTTACCTAACTCAAGAATAATGATCCATCAGCCTCTTGGAGGAGCCCAAGGACAAGAGACCGACCTTGAGATCCAGGTGAATTACCAAAGTGAAACTATGTCTGCTAATTTTAGACCAGGACAGCATCTGCGTGATGGAGATCTTTATTTTCCCATACATCCTTTGCTGCTTACTTAGTTTTGAGCACCAGCAAGCCACTATTTTGGCTAAGCAGCAAGGCATATTGTTGCTTTGCCAGTCCTTTTAATCATGAATTGCATTTCCGTCAGGCCAATGAGATGCTGCACCACAAGGCCAACTTGAACGGATACCTAGCATACCACACTGGGCAGCCCCTGGATAAGATCAATGTAGATACTGACCGTGACTTCTTCATGAGCGCGAAGGAAGCAAAGGAGTATGGCCTTATTGATGGAGTAATCGTGAACCCTCTTAAAGCGCTGCAACCACTTCCAGCTTCCAGTTAGCCATGCCGTGCACAAAATCTATGCCGCTCCAAGCATTTTTGTTGTGATCTTCTGGAGCTGTGTTTGTACCACGCTGTTTTCGTTAGTCTGGCTAGATGCTTTTGTAATTTCACGTTCTGAAGCTTTCACAGGTTGTACGGAACAGATGCACTACTAGAATGTTCATCGTTTGCGGTAAGATGTTTGCACGTGAGTCGACGTTGTTTTTGTTAGGGCCCTCTGCTTGGATACAAATTTTTGTTTGATATGGGGTGAGACTTAAGGTTTTGTGCGGATCCAACTATTCTTGAAGCACACTACTGTTTATGATAAACTCACCGCACAGCAAAGCAGCCAGTTTTGAGCCTCAAAGACTCGTCAGGCAACGTGATGTATCATGTATGTTCCTTCACCGTATTTCCTGTAATAGGGTCACACATCTTCTGCTTGATCTAGCCAGTATGAACTTCCCCTGCCAGATAAGTTCTACGGCAATTACTTTTCCCACCTGTGCCACAAGTTCGCTTACCAGGCATCAAGCAAACAAATGGATCCAAGTCCAAAACTGTCATCTGCCCAGCGTTATCTCTTCTGGTTTGGAGAAGCCATCAGCAAATGCTACGCTTTTCCTAATTCTGCGGCGAAAGCGCTCCCTAATTTTTTTTTATTAATGAACGAATCACTTGTCATGTTCAGTTGCTTATATTTTCCTGAAGAAATTCAGCAATTATTTGCAGATAACCAAGAGGCCCTTTCATCCAGAACAAAGGTTACAACTTAAGGCACACACGCACACATATAATGAAATATCATGTATTCCATCAGTGCTACATACAGTAGAGTACGGGTAGTACCACCATCTCACTTCCAACTTCATCTATAGCTAGACAACAACCATTTACATTTCTTAGGGGGTTTATATAAGATATGGTAAGGATAACATAGCCGCACAGACGCATAATGCAGGCGCTCCTCTTATATCATCCACTTATGCACAAACTACCTAAAACTTGCCCTCAATGTAACCAGCCAGGCCGTTGATTTTGAAGAACTTCTTTATCACAAGAGCCATGATAGCAAGAGTCAGCCCAAATGCAGCCAACGTCAACAATCTGTCATGCTTTGGCTTCTGGATTGTGACGACAGGGTTCTGCGGTGCTGCAACAACTCTTGGACCGCTATCCCTGGGGATTACATCGGACTGAGCTCCCACAATGTTTTCTGCAACTTCTGACTCCGAATCAGGCTTTGGAAGGTCAGTATTCGCAGAACCAGAGCTGGAGCCAGAAGTGTTGACACCTTCTGCTGCCTTGACAGCAGGTTCGCCAGAAGTGTCGGGTGCGGTCTTGTTAGTCTCCTCTTCAGAGCCAGTTAGCAGTTGTGGAACAGGTGGAGCTTTACTGAGCATTTGCTCATGGATCTGTGTTTGCAACAGTTCTTTGTGTCAAAGAAACAGAATGGGGCGTATTTAAGAAGTTCTTCAAAGTGTGTTGGGAATTTTACCTCATCAATTACACTTTGGCGTTCTGGGGAGCCGAATTTTGGTGGTGTTTCACGTGATTTGATAGCGAGTGCTCGTCTATCTTCCTTCTTGTAGTCCAGTGAACCCAATGCGCCACCAGGATTTGTTGGCATGAAAGCAATCAATGCTACTAGTGCTGTGCGTACTGCAACACGAATAGTTTGGCTCAGATGTGTATACATCATATGAACAAGAAAAAGGAAAAGGAAAAGAAGACACATATAATTATATAACACACTTTTAACAACCAAGGAAACAAAATTGGGATAAATCAAGAAAAATAGTAATTTATCAGTTCACAGATATGGTGATAAGATCCTCCAGAAGGAATAATGGTGAATTCCTATATGTAAAATTAGTAATCATTTAACCTGCTTTGGAGTCAAGACTAGACAATAAATGAAGACATAATTCCTTCCCTGACAAAATGTGAACAAACTAAGAACATAGATATTTTGGGAAACATGCTTGCAATCTAATCTTACAAGTCAGATGTTGGTTGTAACAATCAAGGTGGTTCAGTGATAAGTAGACCCAAGATTGCTTGTTTCACAACAAATAAGTATCATGACATATGAGGATGAATATGTTCCTCCTTTGGCTTATTATAGCGCTAAATACCATACCACAGGGCAATTACACAAAGAACCATCTCCTTGGCATCATGGTCATACAGTGCATGTAATATATACTACTTTATAGTGTATATACTACGAGATGATGTCCATCATATAAAGGTACATATGATAGCATGCAATATCCGCAATGTTCATGATATCGGTAACTGGTACCATATGGGTTGGGTGCTGAGTAGGAATAAATCGGCAAATCACCCTATTAACTGAATTTATCGGTAGGTTAACTGGGGCCATATCTATATATCCCAGGCTACATAGCAACATGCAATGTACTAAATGGATAAATATGCTACTATGCACATTAATGTAGCACGGGAAAGTGTTATAAACCTGCAAATTTAAAACAAAAGCATTAAGGTGTGCTCTAAATTAGATAGATGTGCACATCAGTACATACAATTACTAGATCTACATAGGGGAGATGCCCAGCATCAGCACGGCACAGCGGCCGCATCTACAGATGTAAACTCCTCTCCTCTTACATCAGTACATACTATTACTAGATATACAAATGATAAATGTCCAGCAATAGCAGCAGTTTTGGGCCAAAAAAGTGCCTATCAGTTAACTGGCCCAGCCAGTTAATGGCGCGAATAGGGCCTTTCCATATCAAGAAGGGGTCCGAGTAGCGATTAACTGGCGGATATTTGGAATATATCCGGTTCTTGTTTTAAGTTCAAGGGATGGCAGGGCTTATCATAGCAACTAACTTCTTTATATACTCACTACTACACATAGTCGTGCTTTAGATAACCAATGAATAAGAAGATGAAAAAGGCAACTGTTACATTAAAAAGCACATGCCGGATGCCTCTGATATGACATTATAACAGCACTTAAAACATGCTGTAAAACAAACTAACTGTATTTGAGTTGTACTTTATTTAAGAGCTTCCTTGAGCAGCCATTTTACAAACAAATGAGCACTCACCACTCCACGATGGCTGCCAGTGCTCGGGGTGGTAATTGGAAATGCTCAAACATATCTTCTTCTGAATCTCGAATCTTCCACTTGGCTGCAGCATATAGATAAAGGGGAGAAGACAAAGCAAGATTTATCAACAGCTCACAAAAAGCATATGCTGAACTGACAGGGAAATTAGGACACAGCAATTTCAGACCGTGAGCAGCATGAAGGATGGTGGCTTGAACGGGTAGTCTGAGGGCAACTGGATCCGTCCATGGTAGATTCCTCCCTCAAATTCGCTGTCTCGGGGCCCCAGGATAGCAAATTGCCACTCAAAAATGTCCTCCTGCTCGGACAGAGGCATTGTAAATCATATGAGGCTATCAATGTCAACCAAATTGCGGCAATAAGTTAAGCCTAATAACCTATAACAATTTCACGCACACTCAGTTGCTCGGGATGTCTACAAAGGATATCTAAGGAATATCTGCCGCTACAAAGGATAGATAATGTTGATGATCAGACTACAATAATTACACGTAATGCAATGAGATCTAGAAGAAAATACAGACACGTCTAAATTTCCGCACCCCGGAAACGCCATTAAAATCAACGCCATCGAACTGATAATCGATTAAGACCTAAAAGACGAGATCGGATAAAACTCAAGGTAAAGGCAGGAGAAGGGATCGGGATTGAAACCTCGAGGGGCAGGGCCATGAAATCGGGGGAAGGATTAGACTGCATCTCCTTCACCTCCTGCAGGATCCGCTTCACCGCCGGGTTACTCCGGTTGAACTTGCCTGTGGCCGCCATCGCCTCCGCCCCAGGAAACCTGTAGACTCGCCGCCGCTTACCGGGGCAAGGATGCGCCTTCGAATTGTGAATTG